AATTCCGCGTAAAGAATGAAAATGATGTGTCCTGCCCAGTTTTAAGGGGAGCGGCCAGTCTCCGCAGAGTCTACTTCTCCTGAGGATGCCTCGTGTAGAGGCGAAACACGTGTCGTATTTTCGAGAATGAGTGGCGTGCCTAGTGTGTTGGTGCTGGGATTAACGGCGACGGGTATAGTGCGCGCGATTGAGGGAGCGTGGGAGATCTCCTTAAAACTGGGCAGGGCACATCATTTTCTTTCTTTACGCGGAATTAAGCAAATTAGTTTATAACAACCCCATTATAATGGATTTCCGCAAAGTAACGCCTGATTCTATTAATTATCCTATTATCACATTTTTTAATTTATGCATACGTCAATCTGATTGGACATTATTCGTTTACATAAATTATAATAAGGTCAGTAGAGCTATACATATATGCTTTGACGCAAAATGTCAGCGTAAACCAGTAACCACGCAAAAGATTTTTATATCTATAATACATATACACATATAAATAAAATTGAAGTGTGTGTCTGTAATATTGAAATAATTGCCTTATATTGAGCTGAAAGGGTTATCTGTCCATCTTTCTATCTGTTTGTAATGGCTTGTCTTCGGAATAAACCGACTGATGAATTTTCACGAACAGACGAATATGTAGTCTATATTTTATCTGTATAAGATTTAAAAAATAAAAACGAAAATTGATGAAATAAATGGCCTTTGACTCAGGGTTGGCATGAATAAATAATCATTTTGATTTAAATCAAATGATGTTTTCAATAAAAATCAATGATTTAATCAAAATTGTATCCAATATTTTATGCTGAACTTGTGCTTGAAAATTATCATATTAAATAAATTATTTGCCGTTAAATCTTTTGGATTGTTATTTTTATTAAAACGTACGAAATGATATTTTTAACACAGATGTAACGCTATTGGTTGAATTCATTCATAGATTACGTAATCTATAAATTCATTAGTGGTTGATGTTAATTTTATGTACTTTGTTGTTACGGCTGATAATTGGCTGAAATATAAGTTGGTATTAATTTAAACGAAGCGCGTCAGTTTAATATTATTTTTTTTAATTTATATTTTTATCAAAATATTACAAGGGATTTATATAAAAAGTTGGGAAAAAAATACTAGGGAAGTCAAGTAAGATTTTTTTGTTTGGTTTTTTTTTTATTTAGCGTAGTGTACAATTATAAGATATTTGTTAAGTTTATTTTTCACCTTTTATGATGGCGAGACGTAACACAGCTGTGGAAATCATACTAATATAACTAATAATCATGTCTACTTAATAAAAGTATCAATAAAATAGTAACATAATTTAAAAAGCAGAAAATATAAAACTTTTATATTAAGTGTAAATACCTAATAATCATCAACATTTAATAATAATCAACATTTTATTGTAAATTATAATATAGTGTAAATATTGAATTAATAAACTTTTATATAAGCTTATCTCTTAATAAGACTTTAATGCTAGACTCCTGTTCATATTAATGTAAGAAGAAATCTTTATTGAATTAAAATTTCACGCGTAAAATTTAAACAAAATTAACATCAGCTGATTAAAAATAAAAATTAAATACAAAAGTAAGTAATTTTTTTTAACTGTTAATTTTGTATGATAAAAAAATTAACAAGTAACTTTTAACAAATAAATAAATTTAACCATTAACACCATGTCTAATTCATATGTCAGACAAAAGGAAAATCCCCACGCTGTGTTCGCGCAATCCCATGAGGGCGCGTTCCGTTTTGCGAAAAAAATATAGTTAAATTAAATAATAAAATCAAAAAATCAAAAAAATTCATGATTAATTACGATTTTTTTAAAAAATCGTGCTTTAATCAATTTTTTAAAAAAATCATGATTTTTTTCCAACCCTGCTTTGACTATACTAAATTTAAATGACGCCACATTTATCCTACCCAGGCGAAGCGAGTGCGGGTTTCTCATAGAATATGGGTGGCAAACGCACGCAGTCCACCTGATAGTAAGTGGATGCTGTAGTGAATAGACTCTATCCCCGAATAATAATCAAAATGTAGATGTGTTGTCACCCCTGATGCTTAAGGCGGAATTCCTCGTTTCCAGTAAAAAATGGTTTCTCTATACTCACCATACAAAACACAGCAGCATTAAGCATTGAACTGCTATTTTACGCTGTCTGGCAGATCAACACATTTGTAATGCATACATAATCTAGCTGTAGCGTGGCTGTACCACTCTGTGAATGTCCATTGATATTTAAAATTACGTAAACTGTTCTAACATTCGAATTCGGGACATTGTAAGTTGGTTTTGCTTACACTGTTAATGTAGGTCTCAGGCTTTAACTAGAATCTATATTCCACGGCCATATGCCAACTAAAATGTAAAGTATGGTGGACTGTTAAGGTTACAGCCTATTAAAGTTATTGACTCAAGTATGGTTTGGATTCTTGTTTGCATAACTTCTATGTCCAATCGTCTACGAGGCCTTTGCGACAAGTTTAGCGGAATTAAATATTTTCTCAAAGACATAGAAACATCTGTTTCCTTGTTTAACTGGGTAAATGTCAATATACTTAAAAAAATTGATATTAAAATTTTATTGTTTATATATATATTTTTTATATTTCCTATTCATTCAGATTTTATATTGTCATAGCTCAGCGATCAGGCCTTGGGTTCTTTGGCCCAGTCAAAGCTAATAATATTATTTGCGTAAACAGTTAAGAAATCATACGGCCTTATTATAAAAAGTAGTATACCTAGTCAGGTCATAAGTATTGTCACACAGTAAAAACTTTTCTTTTAGAATGCAGGCCACAAAAAAGTTTATTGAATTCGAATTTCGAATTGTTCATGAAATTAAAACTGTATACTTTTTAGAATTTTACTCATTTTTAAATATGGAGTGGACGCTTAAAGAAGACCGTGTTGCAGTTATTGCGTTGCATCGTTGCGGTTACGCGCCAATTCAAATTTTTGACATACTGAAAAATTTGAATATAACCAAAAGATTCGTTTATCGTACCATCAAACGATACAATGAAGACTCTAGTGTAGATGACAGGTCAAGAAGTGGTCGCCCTCGGTCTGTTAGGACTCCAGCAGTGATAAAAGCTGTGAAGGCGCGAATTCAAAGAAATCCCAAACGTAAGCAGAAACTGTTGGCCCTTCAGATGGGGTTAAGCAGAACCACGGTGAAAAGGGTGTTAAATGAAGACTTAGGGCTTCGGGCATATCGAAGAAAAACAGGACATCGTTTGAATGCTCGTCTAATGGACCTGAGACTGAAGAGATGCCGCGCTTTGTTGAAGCGGTACGCGGGAAAAAAATATCGGGAAACTCTTTTTTCGGATCAAAAAATTTTTACAGTAGAAGAGAGCTACAACAAACAAAATGATAAGGTGTACGCACACAGTAGTGAAGAAGCGAGCAACCGTATTCCTCGTGTCCAACGAGGTCATTTTCCATCCTCGCTCATGGTATTGTTGGGAGTTTCTTATTGGGGCTTAACAGAGGTACATTTTTGTGAGAAAGGTGTAAAAACGAATGCAGTTGTGTATCAAAATACAGTCCTGACGAACCTTGTGGAACCTGTTTCTCATACCATGTTGAATAACAGGCACTGGGTATTCCAACAAGATTCGGCGCCAGCTCATAGAGCGAAGAGCACACAAGACTGGCTGGCGGCGCGTGAAATCGACTTCATCCGGCACGAAGACTGGCCCTCCAGTCCAGATTTGAATCCGTTAGATTACAAGATATGGCAACACTTGGAGGAAAAGGCGTGCTCAAAGCCTCATCCCAATTTGGAGTCACTCAAGACATCCTTGATTAAGGCAGCCGCCGATATTGACATGGACCTCGTTCGTGCTGCGATAGACGACTGGCCGCGCAGATTGAAGGCCTGTATTCAAAATCACGGAGGTCATTTTGAATAAACTTTAGTGTCATAAGAATCTATGTTTTGTTAAGTTCATTTTGGTACATAATGAATAAACTTGTTTCAATTATTTTATATTAAACATGTGACAGAATTTATGACCTGACTAGGCATATTTCAGTGTTAGATTTAAACTAGTATATGTTTAATAGAATCAGGCGTTACTTTGCGAAAATCCATTATATTAAAGTTGTGAGATTATCAAGCGGATACGCAAGGTAATTTTTACCATCTTTAATAGAATATGTTTTACAAAGTATTCCCACTCGAAAAGAGCTATCAACCAAAATGTAAAGTATGAAGATTGACAGTTACACAATTAACAACGCAAAACAAATTAGAAATGTTTGCAACAAATTGGTTATAGGTACAACGCATCCGATTTATTGTTCAGTTTTTGGTATATTTTGTATGAAAGTGAGAGATGGAAAAAAAGTTCGTATGCCTTATACGATATATGTATAAACCACTTTTTGTAATATTACGGATTAGTTTTTATACAGTTGGGGTGAAAACAACCGCACACAGTCCACTCGATGGTAAGTGGAAGATGTGACACATAGCCCTCTACACTATTATCAGTTGGGTACGTTTGGCTACTAAGATGGAGTGCCTCGTTACCGATCTATTCATGCAACAGTCATGATAAGGCTGCTTTTAGCTACAGAATTCGTATATCATGAAGGCTGTTAGTGATGAGATCAGTTACTGTTCTATGCATGTATATAAATTTTGACAACCTTAAGCTGTGCCGTCTCATGCACAGAAAATTGATGTCTTTCTAAAGGATTCACAAGGCACGAAGGCTGCTGGGATTTCGTAGTCGCATGGACCAAATCGAGACCAACTTTTGTGTTAAACTAATTCCTAGAGGCTCTGATTACTAGAGCTTCGGGAGAAATTTCTACCTAGATTTGGAGCACCAAGTCATTTTATGTTAACTTTTATCTAAGCATACGTTAAGTATGCAATGTACCAAATCGTTTAAAGTAAGTTACCAAAAATAAAATGTAATTATGTATTAAGTTATTAATATTCTCTTTTTCTTCTTTTCAGGATGCATGTCATCGCTCTGCGTGTTCGTACTATACACCAAGCACCTCATCATAGTATACCTGTACCTCATGTCTCTGGGAATAGTGTTCGTATCCTACTGGACCAACGTGTCGGCGATCAAACAAATTCAAGCACTAACCCTAGCTGCTTCAACCCCATATCCCTCCCCGAGCATACTCGAAGACATTCTTAATTTAAATATAAAAAACTTACTCGATCTCGACGGCCCCGGCGTTCTAGTCATACAAAATTTTAGTATACAGTTTGCCTTAGCATTCCTCTTTAAAAATGTCCACCTCGGACCTCGCAATCAGACTATACAGAAGCTATTGCCTATTAGTTTTATGGCACCATCGTTTCTGGCGATGTTACCGGTTCCTCCCAATCTTTTGCACCATTCCCCCGTCTTCTCTTCGCTGTTGCCACTCTTTCTCGTCAAATACGTCCTCTGGACTTCAGCTTATTCCATTGTACAAGTTATCTACACTGGCTACCAGCACGGCAGACTGTTCGTAAGTAATTACGGTCTATCAGCGTTGGTGGAGACGGAGTGGATGCGGTTGAACGTGCCGTGTGTTTTGAGGGTGTTTTGGGTGTTAAGAGTGGCGGAACATGCGATTCTGCTCCTAATGGACAACTATGACGATGACAATGAAGAGGTATTAAAGGTTTCCACTCTACTAGCCGTCCAGTCTCTTGCCTCAATGGCAAAATCGTTGTTAGTAACAGGATGTGAGACCATAACAGCTGTTCTCGGGATGACTTCAGTCATATCTTTCTTCTGTCACTACATTGGCAACTTCTTCCAATGGATCCTGTTGACAGATGAGGAAGAAGACAAAAGCATTGGTACGGTCTCCGCTATACTATTCTATATACTGGCATTGCAGACCGGATTGACATCATTGAACCCTGAGAAAAGGTTTATTCGACTGTGCAGGAATTTTTGCTTGCTATTCACAGCTCTTCTACATTTTTTGCATAACATCGTCAATCCAATGTTGATGTCTCTCAGTGCGTCACACAATCCTAGTACCCATCGGCATGTCCGCGCGTTGGGAGTCTGCGCATTTCTTATTATGTTTCCCATTTCTCTACTTGTGTATCTTTGGTCCCAGCATTCCATATCTACTTGGCTGTTAGCTGTTAGCGCTTTCAGCATAGAAGTTATTGTTAAGGTCGTCGTCAGCCTCATGATCTACTCCTTGTTTCTCATAGATGCTTACAGGAGCACATTCTGGGAGCAGTTAGACGATTACGTTTATTACATTCGGGCTTTCGGCAATACCATTGAGTTCTGCTTCGGTATTTTTCTATTTTTCAACGGCGCTTGGATTTTGTTGTTTGAGTCGGGCGGCGCAATCAGGGCTGTGATGATGTGCATTCACGCTTACTTTAACATCTGGTGCGAGGCCAGGGCCGGTTGGTCAGTTTTCATGAAGAGAAGGACGGCCGTGAACAAAATTAACTCCTTACGAGAAGCTTCCTCTGACCAGTTAAATCGTTTGGACGACGTTTGCGCGATATGCTACCAAGAAATGCATTCCGCCAAGATCACGCGCTGCAATCACTTCTTCCACGGCGTCTGCCTCAGGAAATGGCTCTACGTCCAGGACAGGTGTCCACTGTGCCACGATATTTTATATAAGATAGACAACGATCCCAATAAAGATAACAACTCCGAAGCTGGCAACGAAGAGAACAGTAACAATCAGAATCTACTCTTGGAGGAGGAGCCAGATTTGTTTTTAGGCGACGGTGTGAGATGACGTTTAGAAGAAGCCTTACAAAATTTTGATTTAGATTTTGAGTTAGATTAAAACAATATAATGATTTTTGAGTCCGAGTTTTATCAGTGGTATTTTTAATTTTGTATAGTAAGTTATTTGTTTTTTTTTTAATTATTATTATTAAAAATCAGTTGGATTCCTGTGATTTAAGGTATAAATTTTGTCTTGTGACGAGTGGATACTTTCACTGTGTGACGTTAGTCTTAAGTTATTAGTCTCGCTTAGTCCTTCCTGGCAATGCTGTGACCATTTCTATGAATGTTACATGTATTTTAATGAAAAATCGCTAGTGCATTACCTGCCTATGCTAACTAAATACCGTTATTGAAAAAAAAACAAAGCTATTTGTAAATAGTACTTTAGAAATAGCTTTTAATATTTTTGAAACTAACGTGATGATGAAAAAAAATCTATAAAAATAGTAATTTTTCTCAATAAACTGTAAATAAACTATTATTTTAGTAGCATTTCTTGTTTTCTTCTTACAGAATCCATTAAACAAACAATTATAAATGAGCGAAATAGTGTTTTGTGTGTTCCGATATTAAGGTAATCTATGCCATCCCATCAACAGTACCACCCTATCCATACAACCCCATATCATCCCGTGGACGCCGTAAGCAGCGACAAAGAGAAATAAAACAGGAGATGAGATGCAGATGATGCTCACGAGAGCAGCGTCTTCCCGATAACAAGTCATAATAAACCTAGCAAGCTAACAGCATAGCAAAGTGGCGAAGCAATCAGCTTTGTAGCGGTTTCTAACGGTTGCCGTTGAGCAATCAGTTTCAAAATAGGAGGTTCAGATGCCTGGGTGATCAGTAATCGATTGCTGAAAACGGAATTTGAAAATTCGAAACCGTTCTCGAGATAATTGTGGGACAGACGGACAGACGGATAGACGGACAGACATCGTGAAATCAATAAGTGACTACGCAAGCTTCGCCACTTAATAATAAAAAGGTGCGTTTACCGACCCGCTATGTTCGTTGGATTTTTCATGTATTGAATGATTTTAATGAATGAATGAGCCGTGGTAGCTCAGATGGTTAGCGCTCGCTGTAAATTTGACAGTACACGAGTAAACCGGGTTCGATCCTCGCCGGCACCAATGACATTGTTAATTGCAATTTTAAGTGCTGATTTACCACGTGCTCGGCGGTGAAGGAAAACATCGTGAAGAAACCTGCATGTCTGAGAAATAAGAAAAAATATATTTCGAAGACATGTGAAGTTCCCCAACACGCATTGGGGCAGCGAGGCGGACACTTCCTTGCCCTAAAAACCTGTCAGAAATGAGGGGAGGCCTGTGCTCAGCAGTGGGACGTATATAGGCTGTAACTTTAATGAATGAATGTTTTTATGAATTACTAGCTGGTACCCGGCGCACTGCAGCCGCAGAAGAAATATTTATGCAAATATCGTTTTAAAGAAGGGTTATATTGTTTAATTAGGAATGTTAATTACATTCACTGAAATTGATTAATATATGACTTCCAAATTTGACTAAAAATTTTGTCGGTACGATACGCGCGCCACCTACTGTAAGTTAATTGTACTATGCCTATAACCATTTGCGCAAATGTAAGCAAGAAGTTGACGCAGATGGAGCGCAATCTTATGAACGGTATGGCAGCGCATATAATACGTTAAAATATGGTATACTACAGGGGGATTCTCATATAAATTTGGAGAAATAATTCCATCGCTAAGGGTGTCAAAATAGGGGAGAAGTTTTAACCGTTACCGTTACTTAACAGTCCACTGTTGAACATAGACCTCCCCCATAATAATAATAAATTATTTTTTATATATTAGATTATATCTTCTTGAGATATAATAATTACGTGTCACGTTAAACTAAACTATTGAAATGATTTCAATGAAAATTTGCACACTGTGTGCACTTTGGTCCAACTTGAGAGATAGAGTAGATTTTATACACATACTCGACTTTTCTGCCGACTTCCAAAAAGGAGACGGTACTCAATTTGAGTGTTTTTTTTTTATGTGTGTTACCTTATAACTTTTTACTGGGTGAACCGATTTTGATGATTCTTTTTTTATATGAAAAGTTGATACTTCTCTTGTGGTCCCATATGAATTTGATCAAGGTCAGACCAATAGTTTTTGAGTTATTCTTAATAACTTATATTGAAGTCGGCTGTACAAAATTTTTAATTTTAAATTATACATACTCGATAAGTGAGAATTTTTGTTGAGAATTTAAAGATTTTTTATAGAACTAAATGTCGTCTGAAAGGGCAGAACAACGTCTGCCTAGCCAGCTAGTGAAATTAATTATTAAGTTTTAAAGATCGTACTAACGCTTATCGGGTTTAACCAGCACAGACGCCCGCGTAGCGTCTTCGCTGTGCAGCGTCTGAATCTTCACTCGTATTAAGGTGAATCTATCTTCTTTTCTTAAGTTTTCCCATCAAATATTGTCAGATTTGAGTCTAAGGGTCAAAGCAGCTGCTAGAGAATCAGATGTCACAAAAGTTCACCGGTAATTCACGCCTAATCTGCTTCTACAGTTCTACACTATAAAGCGCAAGGTTACACGTGTTAGAGCCACGCTGCAGCTATATTAAGGTTGTAGCACGAATGGGATCGGCTCGACCGGAGTAGGAGGACGCTCTCACAGAAATACCACTGTAAAATTGTAACTTAATGCTGCTGTGTTTGGTATGGTGAGTGTAGAGAACCGGAGACCTTTTTTATTGGAAACGAGGCATTCCATCCCTTTTTACTGGAAACGAGGTCCTCAGGGGGTGAAAACAGATCTGCATTTTGATTCTTAATTGAGGATAAATATAGTCTGTTTATGGCCTACAGTATCTAGTTACTATTAGATTAACTGTGTGCTCGTTTGTCACCCTTATTCTATAAAAAAAAGTTTGTCCACTCGTGCGCTGAGTTGCAAAATATAGGCTGGTGCTGGCAGTGTCAGCCTAACAGCTTTGGACTCAGTGAAGAAGGCTTTTTAGTATCCATAATTTAGTTAAACCGAATCTTACCAGTTAAGCACAGGCGCAGATACATTTTGGAGAAAATAATTTTTGCCTCTCCATTTCACTATTTCACATTTTACAAATTTGTCTGTTGGAAGAGCGGGGTACCCCGTAACACAGGTTTTACCAACCCAGTACAGGGGCCCTTGCCACTTGTTTGTTACTTACTACCTTTTGAAACGCAATAAACGATTTTTTTTTTTTTTTGACTATCACACAATTAGACGTTCGTCGGTGGCGGCTCTTCATGTATTTTTGTCGATATACCACGCATTGTAATCATATAATGCTTGGCGTTATCGTTCGTAACGGGTTCAGAAATAAAAATTGTTTTTTTTTCTTTTTAATTTGATATCGATTCACTTAATCATTATTGACAGTAATTTTAAGTTTAATTTTCTATTGGTTCGGAAACTACTTCTGTTTTGAAGAACCAAAATAACACCCAGCGGGACTTTACGGAAAATACATACTGTATAACTTTAAGAAAAATAATACAGTATGTATTTTTTCCCCCAATTTTTTTTTTTTTGTAAATGTGTAGACATTGCCTCATTAATGAATTAGTTGAATAACTTGTGTCTGTTCCTATTATTTACGAATTAAATTTTCACTTTTTTAAAAGTACATAATGTGTGTTTTGTACACAATTATATGCCATTCTGCTAAGTGTACTGAGAGCAAAATTAATATATTAATTTCCCTTTACTTTAAAGGAAAAATGAGTAAACCGACCGACTACAATGTTGATGTCTTCAAGTCTTTTACTTCACCATTTACCATGGGGTGGGAATTCAAACACATTCTTGTAATACGTAAAAAAGCGATGTGAAACTGTTTAGTAATTTGAGTGGGTCGTCTTTTAAATTAGTACTTACCTTAATTTATAACAATGAAAAAAAAAGTTACAGGATGCGCAATAAATTAAAAGGCTATCATTTTCTTTTATTTTCAAAATTTTTTAATGTAATAAGGAGCTTAAGTTTACAAGATGTATATTTTACAAACATGATAGTAGAACACAGTCAAGGTAACATCGTGTATGGATATTACACAGGCAGTGGATATAGAATTAAAAAAAAAAATGTTTTATTATTGGGAAAAAAATTTAACTATGTTACTAGTCTCTTTCGTAATTAAAATGCACTAAATGCATTTAGATTTGATTTTTTGTGAAACATAATTCCAAATGGAAAAAAAATATGAATTTTTTTTGAAAATTTTGCGATCCGTACATTTGTATATGATATCAATATCTGGAAGGTTTTATTATCATATTTCTTATTGCGCTTATTTTCATTTATTACTATAATACATATAGATGGTCAAAAGGTAACCAATTTAAAATGAAAAACTAGGGCATCATTTGCTTGAAAAACCTAGGGCACCAAATAGTTAAATCTTCAAACAGGATTGTTAATATTAATGTAAATATTACTAAACCGTACAGTCCGTGATACACACGCCCGTATCTGGTATGTCAGTTTCTAGAATTAAGAAATAAAGGTAAAAAATAAAAAAAAATACACCGAAATGAGCGTAGATTCGAGACTCCTACTTGTTCGAGCAGTATAAGGTGCAGCGACGACTACCTCGTTGGCGTTGGTTTAGTGGTTGTAGCGCGACTACTGATCATGAGGTCCCGGGTTCGAATCCCAGGTACGACCAATATCTGTAATTGGGTTGGTAACACAGCCCGGAGTCAAAACGCTGGCGGTGGATTCACCCTCGTGCTTTGGAAAGAAACCCGATGGTCCTGCGCCTAATGTCTCTCTGGTCCCGTGGCCGCCCCACCGGACTTTATGAGTAAGGAAATAAAGAGAGCACTTGTGCTTGAGAAACAGTTAAAGTCAAACGACTTGCGATCTACTGATATATCTTAGAATATTTTAAGTTGTATATTTTGTACTGGTTATGCTTCGGGCAGAACATCGACACACATGTCTGTCTGTATCTGGCATACTTTAGTGCGGGCAACAATCATGTGTATCACGGGATTATTGGTAAGGTTTTGGTTAGTTAAATATGAGATCCTTATAGTTAGATAGTAAGTAATAGTTGGAGACGCGACAGTTGGTGGAAGTCCGTACGACAGTAGTGCGGTCAGCTCGTTCAAAGTTCGCTTTAACGATCTCGTAGTATCGGCCGTCACTGAAATGATATTTTTCTAATTAGTAATAATAAACTTTATATACCGTCTAGAAGCGGTGTAAGAATTTTCACTACCCCATATCATCCCGTGGGTGTCGTAACAGGCAACAGAGGTAAACAAATCAGAAGATGGGCAGCAGCGTCTTCCTAATAACGACTAAAATAAAACTGCGGTTGTCAACAAGCTTGCCAGGCATGGCAACTATGGCAAATATCCCTCCTACGAGGCAATCTGTGGGGGAGGCCTATGTTCTGCAGTAGGCTGTAATGGTAATGATTATTTCAGACAAGGTCCACAATAAGGTTAGTATAAAATTACATAAATGGTTTGACACATTCTTTAATACACATAACATTAAGTATCTAAACCAAAAAGAGATATTTTTTTAATAAAAAGTAAAAACTGATTTATTATTTTCCCCTTTTAAGTTTTTTTTTTTTTTTTTTTTTTATAGGATAAGGGTGACAAACGAGCACACAGTCCACCTGATGGTAAGTGGTCGCTGTGGCCCATAGACATCTACATCTATCTTCGATTAAGAGTCAAAATGCAGATGCGTTGTCACCCGTGAGGACTAAGATGGAATGCCTCGTTTCCAGTAAAAAGGGTCTCCGGTTCTCTACACTCACCATACGAAACACAGCAGCGTTAAGCTGCTATTTTACGCTGGTATTCTGTGAGAGCGTGGTCCTTCCCCGGTCGAGCCGACCCATTCGTGCTACAACCATAATATAGATGCAGCATGGCTCTACCACGTATACAAAGGAATATCAAAATCTCACTGACGTCCAAATAGTTACATTTTCCGTGTAATGGCGGTGTTAGAATATCCACTACCCCACATCGTCCCGTGGGTGTCGTAAGATGCGACAGAGAGAATGGGCAGCAGTGTCTTCCTAATATGTAACAACTAAACAATAAAATACTGCGATATCCATTGAGTTATATGTACTACGTACTAGAGAAGCTATTCCGAACATTGACTATGTTCAACTGAACTGTAGTGCAGTCCATACAAACTAAATATTGCGTAAATTGAAGATTTGTGAATTCCATAAAATAATTATTATATCATTTTATTTAGAAATATGTTTGTTTAGATTAAATTAAGATATTTTATATTAAATTCTTATATTTATTTTATATTAATATCTTATTTTATATCAAATTAAAGTCTTCGCGCATGCGCTACTCTACTATCTCCCGCGCATGCGCGAAGACATAGAGTAGGACACAATTTTTGTTTGGAATGGCTTCTCTAGTACGTAGTTCATATAACTCAATGGCGATATCTAACCAGCCTGCTAAACGTGGCAACTATGACTAATATCCCACCCAGGCCTGTTTTTAGTAATGGGCTTTAATAGGCTATTACGGTAAAGCTATAATTTTTTTCTGTATAATCTCCATAATTGTATTGCGTTATTGTTTTGACATACCTAAGACTAACCACATAACTCCTTATCTCCTCAAAATAATATTTTAAATATGGGTTACACCAGAAAACTAAAATATGCTTGTTTCTTACACTCGTAAAATAATTCGCAATCTCCTCATTATTTATATTTTTTTTTCATAGGAGAGGGGGCAAACGAGCATGCGGCTCACCTGATGGTTAGTGACTACCGCTGCCCATCAACAACTGCAACACTAGGGAGGGAATCGCAGATGCGTTGCCGGCCTTTTAAAAAGAAGGACGCTCTTTTCTTGAAGGTCCCTAAGTCGTATCGGTCCGGAAAAATCGCTGATGGGGTTCTTTTTAGCGGTAAACGCGCAAACTTGTGTCTTCTGAGGATTAAACTGGATTAGATTTAGTCGCCCCCAATCCGAGACTTTGTTTAGCAAAGACTCGACTTTAGACACAAGTTTGTTCCGGTACTTGGCGACGTTTTCCCGAGAAATATTGGCACGGCCGGTGCATAGAGCATCACCAGTGCTGTCATCCGCATAGCAATGAATGTTACCAGTTAGCAACATATCATTGATATGCAGAAGAAACAGCGTTGGTGATAGCACACAGCCTTGTGGAACACCAGCGTTAATAGTCTTGTAGTCGGAGCATGCACCGTCTACAACGACCTTGATGCTCCGATCTGCAAGGAAGCTGGTGATCCAATCGCACAATTTCTCGGCAAGCCCATAGGAAGGGAGCTTCGAAAGAAGCGCTTTGTGCCAAACCCGATCGAAGGCCTTCGCAATGTCCAAACTAACGGCCAACGCCTCCCCCTTATATGAAAAATTATCTCCAAAATGTCAAATAACACGTATGAGACGAAGGGGTAAACTGGTATTTTTTTTATAGGATAAGGGTGACATACGAGCACACAGTCCACCTGATGGTAAGTGGTTGCTGCGGCCCATAGACATCTACATCTATCCTCTGTTACAAATCAAAATGCAGATGCGTTGTCACCCGTGAGGACTAAGATGGAATGCCTCGTTTCGAGTAAAAAGGGCCTCCGGCCACCTGCACTAACCAAGCGAAACGCAGAGGTAAACCTCTACTTCACGCTGGTTTTCTGTGAGGTCGTAGTACCACCCCGGTTCAAGCCGGCCCATCCGTGCAACAGCAAAACCTGCCGCGTGGCTCTACCACTGTTAGTATATATAGGTACTTCCAACTTATATATAAAGCGAAGGGATGTTTCAAATATGCTGCCTCCAAAATTTGGAATAATATACCTCCTCCTTTATAGGAGATCGTGAATACAAAATCATTTAGAAAGAAATGCAAAGTATGGTTACTTGAACAACAAAAATTGGAGGCAGGTATTAAGTATCATATTATATAAATTTGCCGATTTACATAGCACATATGTTTATATATTGCAGTATTTTCTTTACGTTGTTTCACGTCAATGCCAAGATTAGGGTAAAATACTGTGTTTTTTAAAAGTTGGCTGTGGCAGAATACCAGCGGTGACCTCAAATCGCCACATAGCTGAGTCACAGGCCAGTTTGTCTCATTGTTTTTATGTATGTTTTTACTCATCGAGTTATATGTACTAGGTACTAGAGAAGCCATTCCAAACAAAAATTGTGTCCTACTCTATGTATTCGCGCATGCGCGGGAGTAGTAGTCGCGCATGCGCGAACACTTTAATTTAATATAAAATAAGATATTAATATAAAATAAATATAAGAATTTAATATAAAATATCTTAATTTAATCTAAACAAACATATTTCTAAATAAAATATAATAATAATTATTTTATGGAATTCACAAATCTTCAATTTACGCAATATTTAGTTTGTATGGACTGCACTACAGTTCAGTTGAACATAGTCAATGTTCGGAATGGCTTCTCTAGTACGTAGTACATATAACTCAATGGTTTGTACTTAAGTATGTTTCTAGATAGGTTTATGATAATTTTTTTGTACGCTTTTAACTACCATGTGTGAATTAAGACAAATAAAACTCTTTATTATTATTATTATTAATTTCCGTGCTTCAATATAGTCACCTTACAATTTTAGGTAGTGTTACTATTGTAATACCTGCATCTTTTAGTGATACTCTTTTACTCCTATTTATCCCTTTCTATCGCATTTACTATGTTGCTATCTTCACCATGTTCCCGAAAAAAGGTAAGTAAATGTACGTTTTACGACAGAGGGAAACTGAAACAGGAGGTGGGCAGCAGCGTCTTCCAGATAACAATTTAAAGTAATAAAAAACTGCGGTTGCCAACCCGCATACGAAGCGTGGCAACTATGACAAGACCCGCCCTATGAGGCAATCTATGGGGTGGCCTACGTTGAACAGTGGACTTAACAGTAACGGTAACGATTAAAACCTCCCCTATTTTGATACCTTTAGTGATGGAATTTTTTTCTCCAAATTTATATGAGAAAACCCCTGTAAAACACCATATATTTTGCCATAGCCACCACGCTTGGCAGGCAGGTTGACAACAGCTGTTTCTTTTTATTATATTTTTTTTATAGGATAGGATGACAACCGATCACACAGTCCACCTGATGGTAAGTGTATGCAATGGCCCATAGACATCCACATCTATCCTCAATAACGAATCAAAATGTAGATGCGTTGTCACTCGTGAGTCTAAGAGGGAATGCCTCTTTTCCGGTAAAAAGGGTCGCCGATTCTCTACACTCACCATACGAAACACAGCAGTGTTAACCTGCTATTTTACGCTGGTATTCTGTGAGAGCGTGGTCCTTCCCCGGTCGAGCCAACCTATTCGTGCTACAACTATACTATTAATATAGCTGCAGCATGGCTCTACCACGTACAAAAATTGAGTTGTTCCTTTTTAAGTTTCCCCCTGATCGCATAATTTACCGTATATATTTAGCTCCCGAAGTTTTGAGTTCTTTAAATCTTGGTCACGGAGGACAACGTGTTCGAAGTATAAATGACATAATTACCCACGGCTACCTTCAACTTAAAATTGATAATTTTTGGTCCGATAAACACACAAAGCACTTATAGTATACGAGAATGTCTTATGGGATTTTGCTATGGGGAAATGCGGCTGATTCAGAAAGTATTTTTGTTTTACACAAGAGGGCCATTAGAGCTATTTACAATCTAAAACCGAGAGTCTCTTAGAGATAAATTTAAAGAAATAAATATATTAAGATACCTTAGATAGTCCCCCTTCCCGAAATAATAAGTAAAATGAAATACGATAAAATCCGTAAAGTAGTTTTTTATTCGATGTGTGGTGTTCGCGTAAATATAAGAATACAATAATCGATATAATCGCATCTATATCGATTTAATATAATAATCTATCACGCCCTTTCGTCCCGTGGGTGTCGTACTCGTAAATAACAGTATGGGAAATACCAGAAAGCTCTTTGGACTTTCGGAAGATAACAGCGTAAACGTGCACGCACACGTCTGGTACTTACTGTCAACAGTTCCAATAGGACAGTATAAAAGGATGACGGAAGAGAGACCGATGTCCTGTAGTCATCTATATATATGTACTACGCACTAGATTTCGCATTCCGAACATTGACTATGTTCAACAGAACTGTACAGCAATCCGTGCAAACTAAATATTGCGTACATTGAAGATTTGTGAATTCCATAAGATAATTATTATTACATTTTATTTAGAAATATGTTTGTTTAGATTAAAATAAGATATTTTATATTAAATTCTTATATTTATTTTATATTAATATCTTATTTTATATCAAATTAAAGTCTTCGCGCATGCGCGAATACTACTCACGCGCATGCGCGAGGACAATAGAGTAGGACACAATTTTTGTTTGGAATGGCTTCTCTAGTACGTAGTACATATTATAACTCAATGCCTGCAGTGAACTTTTTTGGGCTGATATAATAAAAAGTTAAGCTGAATGGTTCTATATCAGCACTAATTTAAATTTATACCTAAGTAACAACTCACCTTAATACAAGACATTTCAGTTTGAGACACTTCACGCGCAGCACGTCAATTGCCTTTTGACTTTTGTCGCTGAACCGAAGATTCTCCGGGTCCCAGCGCAACTCCAGGCGTTCCAAATTTGGACAGCTGTTGGCTATGCCATCCATTAACTGAAAAGACGTAGTTTTCTTTGAGTTCAAAAAACTGCTTTATATTTTATTTACGCGTTACTGTTTCCAGCACAACAATAATATACAACATGTAACAAAAATCACGTGGTTCCCGTTAAGTTCGTTATCGGAATCAGTATTTAAGTGTATAGAAATAACTTAACTTCAGAAAAGTCGACCAATAAAATAATCGAAAATTAAATTTAAATATACTTAGGTAGTACGCGACGGTAATATGGTCATCCGGTTAATATGGCCACTTTCTTATAACTCAAAAACTACAGCCTTGTTTGTATAGGGTGCTCTGTGATAAAAGGGTCAAAAGGGGGTAAATATTTTTGTGTTTCTATATGCAGACGATCTTCAAATATATGTGCAATCGGATATCAATAATCTACAAGATGCTATCGCTAAACTAAACCATAGTTTGAAAGCCATTTATGACTGGTTTGGCAGTTCTGTCAATCCATCTAAATTTCAAGCAATGCTTGTTGGCAGCTCAAAACTGACGTCAGTTGCTTGCCACCCGTATTTTATAATGATACTTTGATCCCGTTCTCTAACTGGGTAAAAAAACTTGGGTCTATATATGAATAAAACGTTGAACTGGGAAAAACAAGTCACTGAGATCAGCCGTAAAGTTACTGCTGCCTTAAGATCGCTCTACCGTCTAAAAAACTTTTTCCCATACAAAACTAAGCATATGCTTGTTCAAACACTCATCTTGCCTGTCATTAATTATGCAGATGTTTGTTACTCAGACTTGAATCAAAATCTTCTCAATAAGCTTGAGCACCTTCTTATAACTGCATCAATTTTATTTTCTGGCTTCGAAAATAGGGCCATTTCTCTCAATTTCGTATTCGTCTTAAATGGCTAACTATCCGAGAAAGGCGCACTTCCAGAATATTGTTTGTTCTTTACTCCATTTTAAATGATTTGTCCTCCTCTTCTTGCCTTAAAGAAACATTTCAATACCTTTCCCCCAACCACGACATAGTACTTCGCTCTTCAACTAATCTGAAGATTTCAGTTCGAATCCATTTTACTAGCTTTATCGGCAATTCTTTTACTGTTCAGGCTGCACTACTCTGGAACTCCTTAACTGAAGACATTAGGAAAGCACCAAACAAGATAGCCTTCAAAAGATTGGTCCGGGAACATTTCTCAAAAACAATGTCGTCAGCATAATACCAATACTGCTACCTTTATCCAGAAATATGTATGTATGTATATATGTATTTATGTATGTGTTCATGTATGTGTAAATGTATATATATTAAGGATAATTGTTATATATGGATTATTATGTATTCGTTTGTATTCATATGCATTTGTGTAATTTATAAGCCTTATTTTAATAGGTGTTATATCTATATAAATTTATTATATGTAGTTATTTAAGTCATTAAGTCACCTGCCACTAATTTCTCACCACGCCATGGGTTGATTGGCAGAGAATGCTAACTGGCATTAAGTCCGCCATTTGTAACATTTTATTAGTTAGAACAATAAAGTTTTTAAATAAATAAATAAAATAAATATTTTTGTCGCTTTTAGTATTGTGTAGGGTAGTTAGTTTTTTAAGTTAATTTTTCGGATTGTTCCTAATGATTACTAAAGCTTGTTTGCTATTTATTTCTTAATATATTAGTTATAGTGTACGAATTTGTGTTTTTGTCTCTGTCCTCCTCCTAGTATTGGTTATATAGGGTATCAAAGATTAAGGTGACCATATTACCCTCACGTACCTTACATTTTTATTTGCAAATTGTATGTATGTTTGTTACCTCTGCATTGGCCCAGTAGTAAGCACAGAGTAAAGAGGACCAGAGGGGAAGCTTCCTAACAACGTCGGAAATCTATACCTATTCTGATAGGGTTGTCACCTGATGCATGTGAAAATTTTAAGGAAAAAATTAAAAAAAAATTGTATACCATAAGACATCATGTGTATTAATTATAACTTATATTAATGTAACAACATATTTATTAATTGTTCGAAATCAAGAGTTTTGGTATAAGTGGTGGTGGTGGTAGTTGTGGCTGTGATGGTGTTCGTGGGCAGTGGCGGTGGTGGTGATAGTAATAGTTGTGATGGCGGTGGTGTTGATGAAGTCACTGTTGGTCGACTGCCTACTACCATTACCTACGATACTACCACCTTCACCACCACTGACACCATCAGCAACACTATCCACCAACACCAACACCAGCACCACTTCCACCAACACTATCCACCAACACCAGCACCATTTCCACTAACACCAATCTCTGGCGATTGTATTCCAACCATAATGCAGTGGTATTTACCCCTGCGGTCGCGACTCGCAAAAAGTAACTTATATCCTAACCCATTAAGCAACCTACCTCCTTACTAATGTGGGTGGATAAAGTCACACATTTAGCCTTATTACGTAGGATATTCTGCCATCTTCGGCACTGTCAAAGTTAGACTGACTAACATTTCAAGTAGGTAAGACCGACATCATCACTCGGCGACGCACATTTTTAACACATTCTCACTTACCTATCAATGTTATTACCTAGTATTATTGTATACGTAAAAAGGTACTTACTTCACTTGATCTCTCGGGTACAAAAAAAAGGAAATATCCTTATTTTCTCTAGAATTATTCATGCATACTGTACAACTATTAGGCATTTTTCCTTATACAGAAAACTTATTATTTACCTATATAAATTTATAATAACTTAAATCTTAATTATTCTTATTAAAAAACTTTAATCTAATTATTTAATAATTACAAAAATACTTAATAAATTAATTGATGTATAAAATATCGAAATATTTTTGGTCTATTTATTTAAATGCGCACGACTAACAGCCCTTTCATGGACACTCTGACTGAGCCAGCGCAAACCGGTTTATACCCCGACGGAGCGTCGGTGAACCTGTCGGTGAGAGCTCACGCACACATCGCTGCGCTATGTATGGGTGTACTCACAGCGAGCTGTTTGTATGTAACTTCCCCTCTGGTCGGTTTATTTTCAAAGACCCTGCTTTACCGATGCGCGTGTCAGTTCAGATGTTAATAACATTTTTTCACAAGATTGAACTTAGTAAATCTCTTGTTCTGAACGCTAAAATCCCTTTAAAAACGACCCCAAAAAAACGTTTCAATGTTATAAATGCCATGCCTATACATAAAATATAGATATATTATACACATTTAAATACGTAAAATAATTACAGGCTGTGATTTTATCTTAGTCTTCACAAGTGAACGCATCTATAACCTTTTTGTTAATAGTCAGTAGGTTGCACGTGTTCATACACTGCAGTAGCCACTTACCATCAGGTGGACTTTAAATTCGTTAATCACTTCAATTTTATGAAAAAAATAGTAACACGCACCTGATCAACGTGAATATTTACACCGAGCCTCTCCTGGGTGCCCATGATAAGAATTCTGCAAGAGGAAATGAAAAAGTGTGATTTAAAAGTGTAAAATGTATAAGTACTCGTAGTATAAAAGCCCATGTGTGGACATGGGCCGATGAAGAAGGAGACTTAATTTGTTAATGGTAAACATATCCAATTACCGTATAGTGGCGGTGTAATAATATCTGCCCCATATCATCCCGTGGGTGTCGTAAGAGGGGACAGAGGGAAACAAACCAGGAGATGTATGTATGTGACAAATCATAGAAACAGCCGTTGTTTATATGATCTGTGATGTATGTAAATAAACACAATAACTCTATAATAACTGAACCAATGAAAATAGCTGAGGCCTTTAAAATTACTATATTAATTTGACAAATGAAATAAATAATATAATTATATTATACAGTAATACAAAAAAATACATGCGGGAGTGTCGTGGAACACTCGGTTGGGACGTAGTTCCATTAGTAGTATATTATTATTGATAAACGTACTATATTATTGATTAACAAATACAAATAAATGAATTACTAGCGTCTATTAAATGAAGCGTCATTTAAAACAATATTTCTTTCATGGCAAGATAAGAAAAAGTGCCAGTGAAAAAAGTTCTGTGGTACCACATATAAAAAAATACTGTCGAATTGAGTAGTCTCCTCTATTTTTTTAAGGTTACATAATCCACAAATAGAATCGTGTAAAGGACATTTGCCAAATCTTGGTATATTAACGATACCCTCTATATAGTCCTAATTTCACTTACATATTAAGTAAAGAACTTTCACAAATATGAAACAAACGAAAATAGGAAAAAGAGGTAAATGACCCGTCGAAAAGATTTGAAATTTTAAATTATACCAACATTGAATGTTGTACGCCATAGCACAAGGTATCAAGTCATTGCACTATTAAATAAATAAACATTAATCATTATTAGAATTTAAAAAAAGCCAACTACTCAGTTGACGATTACCTAAATTACACAAATAAACTTAATGAATGTTAATTTTACTGTTTATGTACTGCATAATTTATAACTGACACGTCCTAGCGTAAGTGTACTGGATGTCCTAGCGTAAGTCATTGCACAATGGTTTGGTGACACGTTATGTTATTGAGAGTCCGTGTACACTAGTGTGGTGATACCTCGTAGCGTAAGTGTACTGGATGTCCTAGCGTAAGTCATTGCACACTGATTTGGTGACGTTATGTTATTTTATTGAGAGTCCGTGTGCACTAGTGTGACGACACGTCCTAGCGTAAGTGCACTGGAATGTCCTAGCGCAAATCATTGTACGATAGTTTTGTGACACGTCCTAATGTGATTTAGTATATAGTAGCGAGTCAGTGTGCAGTAGTTTGGTGGTATTTATCTTATAGTAATTTTGCAAAGGTGTCGTGACACGTTATCCTACCGTAAGTCATTGTACAATTGTTTTGTGACACGTTGTCCTAATGTAAGTCAGTGTGCAGTGGTGTGGTAATATGTTATTCTAGCGATTCAGTGTGCAGTACATTGTCTTAACGTAAGTGTGTAGAGTTGTCATGACATTATCCTAGCGCAAGTCATTGTGCAATGTAACGTATGTCACTGTGTAATATAATGTGTGATGTAATGAGTCACTGGGCTAACGTAAGTGATTGTGCAATGGAATGTATGATTATGCTGTGCTCTGCCACAGATGGACGATGATGTGTGGTGACCTGGCGTTGGTGAGCAGGTGCAGCACGCTCTGCCACAGCTGGTCGGTGATGTGTAGTGTGAGGTGAGCTGGCGTTGGTGAGCTGGTGCAGCACGCTCTGCCACAGCTGGTTGGTGGTGTGTGGTGACCTGGCGTTGGTGAGCTGGTTCAGCACGCTCTGCCACAGCTGGTCGGAGATATGTGGTATGTGGTGACCTTGCGTTGTTGAGCTGGTGCTGCACGCTCTGCCACAGCTGGTTGGTGATGTGTGTGCGTGGTGACCTGACGTTGGTGAGCAGGTGCAGCACGCTCTGCCACAGGGGATCGGTGATGTGTGGTGTGTTGTGACCTGGCGTTGGTGAGCAGGTGCAGCACGCTCTGCCACAGCTGGTTGGTGATGTGTGGTGTGTTGTGACCTGGCGTTGATGAACAAGTGCAGCACGTTCTGCCACAGCTGATCGGTGATGTGTGGTATGTGATGACCTGGCGTTGCTGAACAGGTGCAGCACGTTCTGCCACAGCTGGTATGTGTGGTGTGTAGTGACCTAGCGTTGGTGACCTGGTGCAGCACGATCTTCCACAGCTGGTTGGTGATGTGTGGTGTGAGGTGATCTGGCGTTGGTGAGCAGGTGCATCACACCCTGCCACAGCTGGTCAGTGATATGTAGTGTGTGGTGAGCTGGCGTTGGTGAACAGGTGCAGCACGCCCTTTCACAGCTTGTCGCTGATGTGCGGTGTGTGGTGACCTGGCGTTGGTGAGCAGGTGCAGCACGCTCTGCCACAGCTGGTCGGTGATGTGCGGCATGCCGCTCAGCACCAACCCCCACAGCTGGCCGCCGTGCCGCGACAGGAACCGCAGCAGCGCCTCGTCTGAGATGTTGTCCGATGAGTCCACGTCCAGCGCCACCAGGCTCCTGAATCACACTCATTATTAGTGGCACTCAAAGCGGCTAATAAGTTTCTAATACATAAAAATTAATATTTGTTTGTTCGTATTTTATGCAATATTAAAACGATATTTCCGTAATCATTTCTTCTGCGGCAGGAACGTGGCGGGTAACAGCTAGTATTATGTAAAACGCATAGTAACATAGAACAATATTGTTAACTAACCTTAAATAAGACCAATATAGAATCAGGCGTTACTTTGCGGAACACCATTAATATTAAAGATGTTCCTGGTATAATGGTGTTGGGGGAAGTGACGTTGGGATTAATGGTGACGGGGATAGTGCACGCAATAGTGGGAGGGCGGGAGGTGCTCTTCAAACTGGGTAAGACACATCATTTCATTTTACTACGTGGATTTACGTACGTTTGCAGTGATGCAAAAACTAAGCGCAAACCACGTTTAACTTATTGTAAGAACACACGCTTACGCACACATGCATCTAAAATAATTTCCAGCTCACAACATGGTTTTGGATGGATATGTGTGCGTTCAGCAGTGGAATTTTACGGGGTGATAAGGAAAGAAAAAAGAAAATGTCAAGAAGTCACTTCAAATGTAGTTAATTATGCGTTCTTATATCTCTCATTGTTAGCTTCACTGAGCCTTACTAATGAGTTTCAGGTAATTAATATTTTGTGTCAAATTAAAAGCGATCAGAGGTTAAACGCTCGCCGTAAATCAGAGTGCACGAGCAACCCTGGCTCGATCTCCGTTAAAACCTGTGCTAAGCTGTGTGACGATATAGGTGATATATTTTTATTTTTCTATATTTCAAAAGTGAACGGCAGGGTCGGGAAGGGACGCCCTAGACGAAGGTTTATCGACCAGATCGGCGATGCATTGAAAATGGGTCAGATTAGGAGTACCCTTAACCGACGAGCGTGTATGCGTAGATATATGGATGTGAAAGAGGCGAGAGAGGTGTGTCAGGATCGCGCCAAATGGACGTCCGTAGTCTCTGCCTACCCCTCTGGGTGACAGGCGTGAGTGTTTATGTATATTATGTATTATGTATTTCAATTCTATATTTGTATTCAAATAAATAAAATAAAGGTTATTTTATTTATTTAGAATAATGGTGACGAACAAGCACACATTTTACATGATGGTAAGTGTATGTTGTGGTCCATAAACATCTCCATCTATCCTTGATTAAAAATCAAAAGGCGGATGTTTTGTCACCTCTGAGAACTAACGTGGAATGAGAACCGGACACCCTTTTTTTGGAATCATAGTTTCCAAAAACGTTTCCATACGAAACACAGCAGCATTAAGCTGCTATTTTACGCTGGTATGCTGTGAGAGCGTGGTCCTTCCCCGGTCCAGCCGACCCATTCGTGCTACAACCACATTAAACGTTTAGTACCACTATTAATGAGAGAATAGCAGCCCCATGTCCATGAACTTTTACCCGTAAAGCAATGAAGAATTTCTTTATAGTTTACTAGCGGTCCGCTCTGCCTTTACTTGCGTGATTTCTGAATCTCGACAAAAGCGCCACCTACTGGATCCAATTGTGGATCTAAACCATCCCACTCAAACACAAAGAATTTCATGAAAATCGCTCCAGCCGTTTAGAAGGAGTTCAGTGACAAAGACGTACAGAAGAATTATATAATATACTAGCTGTTCCTCGCGACTTCGCCCGCGTAGAATTTACTACGATTTCATGGGTTTTAATTTTTTTCGCGGAACCCTAATTATTTTCCTAAAATAGAAGTATCCTAAGTTACTCCTTATAACATCAGCTATCTGCCAGTGAAAGTCCCGTCAAAATCGGTCCAGCCGTTTCGGAGATTAGCTGGGACAAACAGACAGACAAAAATTTTAAAAAGTGTATTTTTGTTATTAGTACCGTATATACTTTCATATGCATTTAGTAAAAAGGTGTTATTTTGACATTACAAACAGACACTTCAATTTTATGTATTTGTAAAGATTTACTAGCGATCCGCCCCGGCTTTACATGGGTGATTTCTGAATCTCGACAACAGCGCCACCTACCGAGTCCCATTATGAATCTAAACCATTTTCGATTAAACGTAATCACACACACACACACACACACACACATAAAGATAAACACACCCGTTTTACTCAAAAGCGTGACTTAATTATTGGCCTAAGACAAATATCTCTGAACGTAGCTAACCTGGCTGTCCCAGCTTCGATCCAAGCCTTCAGCACCGAATCGTTGAAACCATTGATCTGTCCAGCACTGAGGAACCTCAGGTTCGGTATCCTGCTGAGCATGTCAATGAGGCACTCGGTGGACAGATCCGTGGCTGTTACGTCCAACTCCTGGATTGAGGACTTCTCCCATTCAACTTGCATCACGTACTCCGACTGAAGACCTGAACCATTGTTGCGTAAATATTTTTTTATTGGTTATCTTATTATTAAGCGGCAGGGCTCTATTTACAGTCCACCTCATGGTAAGTGGCTATTGCAGTCCATGGGCAAATGCAGGCAACTTCAAACAAAGAAGTCTACAGATGTGTTGTCACTTCTGAGGATTATTTTATACGTCGTAGAGCCATGTTGCAGCTATATTAGTATTTTTTTTTGTTATTTTTTTTTTAAAAACGTTATCCCCACACTAGGATTTTCTCCTGTATCGTGGAGGCAGTTTACAAACACAAATTTCACAAGGACAAACATCCAGACCCGGAACAATTATTTGTAGGCCATACAAATACTTGTTCCGTGCGGGATTCACACCCGCGTCCCCAAGCGCAGCAACTCATTGCTAAGCCACTGCGCCACGGAGAGTAGTATAGTTGTAGCACTAAAGGGTCGGCTCAGGAAGTACCACGCTCTCACAGAATACCAGCGTAAAATAGCAGCCTAACACTGCTGTGTTTCGTATGGTGAGTTTAGGGAACCGGAGACTGTTTTTACTGCAAAAGAGACATTCTATATAAGTCCTCACGGGTGAAAACGCATCTGCATTTTGATTATTTATTAAGGATAGATAAAGATATCTATGGGTCACAGCAACCACTTACTATCAAGTGCACTGCGTGCTCGTTTGTCACCCAATCCTATAAAAAAAATTAAGATGCAGTGTGAATTCCTTACAGGCTGTTATTATGCTGACTGTCTATACTCTTTAGACTGGAACACGGCAGTGTAAGCACTACTATACTATAGGAGCAGTAATAATTAAGTGTGGTAGCTATCCAGGCGGACTTTTTAGCAAAAAAGGACCTCTACCATCTAGTTAATGGGCACATATCGGTTACGTATTCTCTATGTACTCTCCTGCGCTGTCACCTCACGATCTGTGGTGGTGTAATTCGAAATCTATTTTTACTGGAAAGATGCATTCCATCTTAACCCTCAGGGGTGATAGCGCATCTACGTATTGATTCTTAATCAAGAATATCAGGTGGAATGTGTACTCATTTGCCACCTTTATTCTATAAAATAAAATAAAAAACTGAAACCGTGTGAAAACAGAGAGAGACCAGATTGCACTGATGATGCAACTGACGGAATCATAATCTCGTATTAGCTTGTTTTCTCCCTTAAAACTGGATCAAGTTTTTTTTTCTAGAATTATGGACTGTAGTCATTCATATCAGTTTGTTTTTCTCATATTTTTATAATTGATAAATTGGTTTGCATGATTTTTTTTTTATAGAATAAGGGTGACAGACGAGCACCCAGTCCACCTGATGGTAAGTGGATGCTGTGGCCCATCGGATCAAAGCATTTGTTAAAGTATTATGGCGTATAAAGAATAAGCAATTTTTTTTTTACTATACGGAGATTATTATATAATACCATTTTTGAGGTGAATAATATTGTGTTTTTTTATTTTTGTTTAAAAATCGTTATCCCACAGTAGGTTTTTCTCCTGTATGATGTGGCCCATACGCATTTTAACAGTGGTAGAGCCACGCGGCGGCTTTTGCTGTCGCACGGATGGGCCGGCTCGAACCGGGGTGGTACCACGACCTCACAGAATACCAGCGTGAAGTAGAGGTTCACCTCTGCGTTTCGCTTGGTGAGTGCAAGTGGCTGGAGGCCCTTTATGCTGGAAATGAGGCATTCCATCTTAGTCCTCACGGGTGACAACGCATCTGCATTTTAATTCGCAAATGAGGATAGATGTAGATGTTTATGGGCCGCAGCAACCACTTACCATCAGGTGGACTGTGTGCTCGTTTGTCACCCTTATCCTATAAAATTAAAAAAAATATACACATCCACATTTATTCTCGATTAAGAATCAATATCCAGATTCCAGATGCGTTGTCACCCTTGAGGACCAAGATCAAATGATTCGTATTAAGTGAAAAGGGTCTCCGGTTCTCTACACTCACCACACGAAACTGATAACCAACTGCGATAAATGTGTGCAATTTTAGTTATCTATGAAAGTTGGTTTTTATAAGAATTAATTCATGTAAAACAAAAACAAAAATAAATGCAACATCGCAGTGATGGATATAGATTGCATTGTAAACAATATTTGATCTAATGTCATCCAGGTAGAACGTAAAGGAACACGTTTTTAAGACGTTAATATAATTCGTCACCACCGCCGCAAAGGGGCGAAGGTTTTTTCTTTAGAAAATTAAAAATATTGGATTTCATGGAAAACTACAATAGGACAGTATTATATGATAATAGAACTAGACGATGAATACAGCTTTAATGTATTACGGTCCTGAAATTACTACTAAAAAGCTCTGAAAGAAGATACGCCTTATCGTTGCGTCTCGTTTTGCCCAGGCTCGCCTTTTATCTACGAGTTACGCCCTTGTTCTGTCATGAAACGGTGAGTAATAATGAAGCAAAAGGAGTTACTTTTATACAAAATATATTGAAAATGAATAAAACAAATCATAATGGTATCAAGGACAGCTTAAGAAAATTTTCAAAAATGTCTTATCCTAGATTATATACTAAGATCACAATTTAAACTTGATACCATTGTGGTACCATACCAACAAAATATACGAGGTCAGTAACAGTCATAATAATCTTTGTTTTAATATCCAATCTAATATAAATAAAGGGTAATGTCCCTTGAGGAAAGTTTCTTTCCATATGTATGAATACTTTTGCCATTTTAAACAATTTTAAAATTTAATTACTCTTATTTTAAAATTAAAATAAAATAAAATCTCCAATCTAAGAATAAGAACTAGTGTCATTATTGTGTGATTGATTATTTAGATAAATAGATTAAGTTCGAACATTCACATACCTATGTCTGTTTAACTTCTACTTAACAAAATTATAAAAGGTTTACATGATTAAAATAGTACCAAAGAAGAATATAAATTATAAAGTTCTTATAGAAAAAAAAAAACGAAAAAACACACGATTAAGAGTCGCGACAAAAGGGCGAAGCTTAGTATAGGGCCCAATTTGTTATGAAGACAAGGTATCAGCTTCGCCTTATCGTAAAATCTCACACGAAGTGTTTTTGACATAAGCCGTTACTTTAAATTCGTTATTTTTGTACTTAAAGCTTAACCCGATTGAGACGACATAGATCTAGAACAAAGGAGCAATTTTGTATATTAAACTCATTTTTGATCGTTTGTATGAGGTTCGCCCCTTTGCGACGGTGGCGACGAATTGGTCTCAAGTTATTTTAGTATGAGTTTCATTATTATTATTACAAACACCTGTGTCCGATGACGTCACCACAGCGGCGAGCTTGTACAGTTTACAAAACAAGTTTCAAGTGCGAAAAGCGGAGTGCGTCGTCTTACGTCGTAAGATAATCTAACAGGACTAACGAATCAACGAACATAATATTATTATAATTAATATAATCAGACGATACTTTGCGGAAATCCATTTTATTAAAGATGTTAAAAATTAATTTGCTAAGGCCTGAATTCCTCCCACGCTGACGTCGGTTGCGTACGGTCGGTCGCGTACGCGTACGTAGCATACTACGCGCCGCTGTCATCAGCGTCGTATTGTGGGGCTATATAGAACACAATGTACATTAGTACGCGCGACCGACGTACGCGTAGGAGGAATTCAGGCCATGTGATGTACATAGTGGGTTAAACTTTCCAATATGGACCATAGATTTAAATGTCCATATTTTTTTTACAGAAAGGTTACATTATTATAAGCACACACGCAAGTTTCAACATGCGGAAACGCGTACTTTTTGAGAAAAAAAAATATGTCAATTCCTACCGTAATACTGACGCTATTTTGTTATTTTGTATTGCCATTGTCATAGTCAGTAGAGATGTCGATTCTTTCCGAAAAAGATCGATTTTATAAATCGATTCGAATCGTAAGCCGATGTATCGATGCACAAAAAAATCAATTTCTAAAATTTCGATATTTTTTCATGTTTGCATTTATAATGTAAATATAAATTCATCTTATGAGAAAAAAATCCCGTTCATCAGAAAAAAATAGGGGGACTGGTTAAGAGAAATTTCTGTATTTATTTTGAGACTGCAACGTCTGCTCCCCCTACGCGCCTCCGGCTCTATAAAACCACTCTAGGGGTAGGACAGACTCGTACCAGGTGGAGTCGGGGTCAATCAATTCGGTTCTTTGACATAAGTTGAACCTAACCTGTTTTACTTGTTATCTATCTGCCCTAATAGGTACTGTTAAATAAAACAAATTTCAATAAGAGATCATTTATTATGGTATCTTTCTTGTTTTTCATAAAATGGATCTATATTTACATTATAAATGTAAACATGAAAAATATCGATATTTTAGAAATCGATTTTTTTGTGAATCGATACATGGTTTGTCATAATTGTTCGTGTCCATGAGTACTCGCACAACCGTGAAGTGATTGACGTTTGACATCAATTATTTGTCAAATTTATTTTGTAATTGCGTGTTATTTGCCAATTTATATTAAAAGTAAAAAAAAATTATCTCATGAACCGTGAGTTTCCGTAACCTAAAACTTTGCAAAACGCTTTCTTTTAGTGAGAACTATCTACAAAAAAAATATGGGCATTTAAATCGATGATCCATATTGGAAAGTTTATCCCCGACCGTACTCAACCGACGTCAGCGTAGGAGGAATTCAGGCCTAAGATCCACGTATATCCGCGTAGCTGTCGATCGCCGCAGAATCTAATTCACCTGAGGATACCTCGTTTAGAGGCGAAGCACGTGCCGTGTTATCAACGGTGGCGTGTCTTTCCTAATATAGTATTGTTGGAAGTAGTAGTGACGGGGACAATTGAGGAAGGGTAGTAGGTGCTCTTGAAATTAGGTAACACATTTTATTTTACTACGCGGATTTTAGCTAAATAATATTTAACATATTGATGATATTATCTTCGTCTCTCGCTGTACAAACAATGATTTTTTTTTATAGGATAAGAGTGACAAACGAGCACACAGTCCACCTGATGGTAAGTGGTTGCTGCGGCCCATAGACATCTACATCTATCCTCTATTACAAATCAAAATGTAGATGCATTGTCACCCGTGAGGACTAAGATGGAATGCCTCATTTCCAGTAAAGAGGGCCTCCGGCCACCTGCACTCACCAAGCGAAACGCAGAGGTAAACCTCTACTTCACGCTGGTTTTCTGTGAGGTCGTGGTACCACCCCGGTTCGAGCCGGCCCATCCGTGCGACAGCAAAAGCTGCCGCGTGGCTCTACCACTGTTAAGTATGCAGGGAGCTGCTACGTAGAGCGGTGGCGACGCATACCACGCGCCTCAAATGTTATTGTGCACGCGTAATAACTTGTTCAATACTTACTGCAACCATTCATTAGCAAGCATGTGAGTCTTCGAGACCTCTGGAATAGCGTCTTCATGGTGGAGCCCGTCACTTTGTTGCAGTAGTTCACCGCCAAACACTCCAGCTGGATAATAGAGATGTATCCCGATGTTAAGAGACTTCATTTTGATTATAAAAAGTAAAGTTACTGCCCCTAAAGCCCCACTGATAGGCACAGCCCCCCCCCCCTCTATTTCTGGGAGGTTTATATAAAAACTCTTATAATAATTTCCCCCAGACTGAGTTTCAAAAATTGTAAATTTGCATTTTAAAATATTGGGCACGTTACAACAACATGTTAACGGGAAGTTTATAAGTAAAACAAGCAAATAAAGTCACAAAACATAGCAGGCGAACCTGAATACAATTAGAGCTGAACGCATCGATATGAGAGTCATCAACGAAGTTGATTCCGTACAGGTTGATCACGCGCAAGTTTGGGGTCGCCGATTTGAGCTTGTGCACGTTTATCACCTCGTAGATCTCTTCCTCCTCTTCTTCTACCTTCTCATACGTGCCTTTAAATAGAAAGAGTTGTAAATTTTACAAGAAATGCAGTTAGAGTGTCACCTGCATTCACAGATTTTTAATTCTATTTTCTAGAAGGCTCCATGGTATGCATTTCACAATAAATTTGCTTATACTCATGATGGACAGGCGGGTTGAGAAAATGCGTTTGTGCAAATCTTGTGGAAATTGAGTTTATTTATGTAGTATTATGTTAAATTCAATACAATGTCAAAAGTATGTAAATAAAATGTTTTAAATATAGATTTTCATACATACATATATCCATGTCTTACTATAAGATCTATAGCCAAGGAAATTTTAAGTGCAAATTAAATGCTAATACATACCTACTAGCGACACTTAGACGACTATAGAAGCAACTGCAGCTTCCCGGTAGTGTCTTTCATCTGTTTTTGCACCAACGGAAATGTAGGATACAAAGAGCTTCAAAGAATTTTTTTTATATGATAAGGGTGACAAACGAGCACACAGTCCACCTGATGGTAAATGGTTGTTGTGGCCCATAGACATCTACATCTATTTTCGATTGCGAATCAAAATGCAGATGCGTTATCACCCGTGAGGACTAACATGGAATGCCTCGTTTCCAGTAAAAAGGGTCTCCGGTTCTCTACACTCACCATACGAAACACAGCAGCGTTAAGCTGCTATTTTACGCTGGTATTCTGTGAGAGCGTGGTCCTCCCCCGGTCGACTTTTAAAAAAAAACTTACAATCGTAAAGTAACACAATTACACAAAAAAGTCATTATAACAATGGTAAAAAGATTCTTAAACTTTCCAGATCTCTGATATAAAAGTTACTATTTTGTTAATTAATATAAATAGATAACTAGCATACATTACATACATCTTTTACTTTAATATTAAAACACATTTTAAAACACGAAAATCACGTACCTATTAAATGCAATATCTCCAATCCATTGATAAAGTTGTATATCTTTCTCATGAAACCCTCCATGAAGATAACTTCAGACAGGCATATGCAGAGGTACCGCAACTTAGTGGGAAACGCTTGCATCTCTGAGAAATCGTGCAGTTGCATGGCTGGAATATTGCTATTGTTTAATATCAGGGTAAAATAATAATATTATTTTGAATCATATTTTAATTAATTATAATTTTGAGACGTTGGCACGAGACCCGACGGTATGACATTGGTCCCTTGGGAGAGATGTAAAGCCCTAGTGTGGGATGCTACTAGACAACGCGGCCTCTCATCTCAGGGAGACCTCGTTAAGAGCCGGGGCGGCATCAGAGGCAGCTGAACTAAGTGGCGCAAATATGAGTCTCTGAGAGATGACTACATATTTGTGCCATTTGCTGTAGAGACTATCGGTCCGTGGGGTCCACGTGCGGTGAAGTTCCTAAAGGAACTTAACCCGCGGCTGGTCATTGCTGCTGGTGATAAGAGGGCTGGTTCTTTTCTCGCTCAAAGGCTAAGTATAGAACGCAGCCATCGTTCTTGGCACGATACCGCGGGGAGTAGGACTGTATGATAATTAAGTTACTAGTTTTAGTTATATAATAAATACTATTAATTATATAATATATATAAATATAAACACAAGTTTGTTTAACAAATATTCATTAATTCATAATAACCTATCAAAATTCCATTGCTGAACATAGGCCCCGACTATAGATTGTCTCAGAAAGGGGATATTTGCCATTATCGCCACGCTCGCAAGCGGGCTGCTAACCGCAGTTTATTATTATTTGGAGTTGTTACCAGAAAGAAACTACAGCCTGTTCTAGTATTCCTGTTCTAGTTTTCTCTATTTCCTCATACGACACATGAAAATAGGGTTTTATTCTTGTGCCTCGCAATTTTTGAGTTTCTATTTATAAAAATATTTGGCTTTTTATACTGAGAAAGAAGGATAGACAAAATACTATTATGCGTACATTCAAATGACAGCGAAATCATGATTATTATAAGAACACCCACACATGTGCACCCAAAATCATTTGCACACAAATTAGTTTAGATTTAGAGGGTTTTAGCTTTATTTTAGCTTTTTTAAGAAGCTTTCCTTTATGGTTGTAGCGTCACTTGAAAGTTCGTCTGAAACACATGTTAATATATTTGAAATATATATAAATATTTTCTTACCAGTACTAAAATCTAAAAGCATGTGAGTCAAATTAGGACATTTTGCAGCTAACTCGTGCAAAACTGTGTGTGTGATTAACTCAATAGGCAATTCAATGTATCGTAACGAAGGGCCGAATCTTATTGAAATCAATGCCAAGAGTGATTCGAGCGAACCTGAAAAGTAAAAGTTTATTATAAATAATTTTAAGGCACTTAAGATTCTAAAGATGCCTGTAACTTAGTGATTATGATATTTTATAGAGATTTTTGTTTAAATCAAATATAAATATGTATAAGTCAAAATTATGGTACCAGCAGTACCAGTTTTAGAATGTTCCCTATATTTGGGGAAAACATCAGAAATAGAACTAAATAAATCCAATTTGGAAGAAGCTATGTAAAACCGCTTTACAGCTAAATAAATATACATACCTATGAAGAATATAAATTATAATAAATTTCAACATCATAATCATCATTACAGCCCCTTACAAGTCCACTGCTGAACATAGGCCTCCCCCACTGAGTGCCAGAAAGCACGGTCTTGACCTACCTGCGTCCATCGACTGCATGCATTGCATCTCTTACCAGGTTGTCACACCATATGGTGGAAGGCCTTCGTTTACCGCTACGAGGCTGTCACTCGAGAACCTTTCTTATCCATCTGTTATCGGTAAAGTGTCACCTGCATTCACAGATTTTTAATTCCCTTTTCTAAACGGCTCCATGGTACTCGTAGGCGTTTGGCAATAGATTTGCTTATACTCATGATGGACAGGCGGGTTGAGAAAATGCATATGTATAAATCTTCTAGAAATCGAGGTTAGGTATGTAGTATTATGTTAAATTCAATACAATGTCAAAAGTATGTTAATAAAATGTTTTAAATATAGATTTACATAATATATACATAATATGTATGTAATGACTATGCTAGGGCTGAATCTGAATGACAGGGTGAGAAATAGTGTGATAAGAGAAAAGTGTGGTTTGCAAGATGACGTTGTGACAAGGATTAAGAAAGGAATGCTTCGGTGGTTTGGTCATGTAGAAAGAATGAACGAGGAAAGAGTGACAAAGCAAATTTATGTTGCGGAAGTGAACGGCAGGGTCGAGAAGGGACGCCCTAGACGAAGGTTTATCGACCAAATCGGCGATACATTAAAAATGGGCCAGATTAGGAGTACCCTTAACCGACGAGCGTGTATGCGTAGATATATGGATGTAAAAGAGGCGAGAGAGGTGTGTCAGGATCGCGCCAAATGGAAGTCCGTAGTCTCTGCCTACCCCTCTGGGTGACAGGCGTGAGTGTTTATGTTATGTTATGTTTAATATGTATGTTCATGTGGCCGGCCTATTGCCGCTTCAGCTTACTGATTCGTTGGGCTATGTCGGTTACTCTGGTTCTACTGCGGAAGAATGCTTCACTACAGTACTGCATTCTCATTACGAAATCAATTCAAAAAAAAACTTCGAGTACGACTCAGATCCATATTTTCACTAACAAAATATCATATAATAAAACTTACCGACATGTAAACCGGAAATTTCAGGTCGCAAGCTGACGTGAGTCCAAAGTCGGGTGTCGTATGCAACCATTCTCCATCTCTTGCAGACTGTAGCCATACGACATATCTCACGATGGGTGAGATAAGAAAAAATATTTAGTAACACTTTGTCGGGCAACTTCTCAATAGTCTGAAAGTTAAAATTCGAACGTTATTTTTTTAAATTTAGTAAAATTGACATAAGAATTTTCACTTGAGCCTCCGCTATTTAAATTGACTTTAGGGCGCGTTCCGACGACACGCACCCGCTACGCACACGCCACGCGCGTCAGCACTCGCGTCTAACTCGCTTTGAAATTTGTTGCATATAATTTGAGTCTTATCACAAATCAATAAATCTGAAATTGCATTTCTCGACGGTCAACCGCACACGCCTCGCTCACGCCACGCGCTCGCCACGCGCCCGCCACGCGTCCGCCTCGTTCCCGCTCCTCGCTGATCTCGCACTCACCCCGCACACGCGCTTTTTATACAATTTCAGATTTATTGATTTGTGATAAGACTCAAATTATATGCAACAAATTTCAAAGCGAGTTAGACGCGAGTGCTGACGCGCGTGGCGTGTGCGTAGCGGGTGCGTGTCGTCGGAACGCGACCTTAATATAATAAACTATAAGAGGAAGATTTACCATCCATCCATAATCCATCGTTAGCCTATGAAAGTCAACAACTTAACATACGCCTCCCCTATAGGAGATAGAAACTGCAGTTTTTAAATTATTTTGAGTTATCAGGAAGCTGCTGCCCATCTCCTGTTTCAGTTTCCCTCTCTCGCCTCTTACGACACCCTCGAGAAAGGGTAGAGGATATTCTTACACTGCTACTACACGGTTTTCTATACTACTCTCTAAAAGGAAGCTTTTGCATAGACATATACTCGTACATTTCATCCTCGATTCAGAATTAAAATGCAGATTTGTTGTCACTCTTGCGGACTAAGATAGAATGTCTAATTTCCAGTAAAAATGGTCTCCGGTTCTCTACACTCATCATACGAAACACAGCAGCATTATAAGCTACTATTTTACGCTGGTATTCTGTGAGAGCGTTGTCCTTCCGCGGTCGAGCCGACCCATTCCCATTTTAATAAAGTTTTAGTGCTTTTATAACCGAAAAGATATTCTAAATAATAATACTTTTGTTAACTAGTGACGTGTAGTTTCGTGGTCACTTGGACGAGAAGGCCAAATTGGCCTGTAAAAAGCTTGACGTGTTCAGTAGAGCGGGACAGTATTTCATGCCGGCACACCACTTGCAACTTTACAAGGCGCAGGTTCCGAACCTACTGTTCCCATCTCTGGGCAGGGCCTCCCCAGTGCCAGCTCCTTCCACTTGACCGCATCCAGCTCAGAGCGGTTCGAATCGTCGACAACTGAGTTCTTTCTGATCGGCTCAATACACAGGCACTGCGTAGTGCCAGTTTGCATTTTCTATCGAATTTACCACCGCGAGTGCTCTGATGAATTGTTCGGACTAATTTCAGCCGCTCAATTTCACCATTGCACGACGCGACAAAACTCGCGTTACCATCCATACAATCTGGATGATTGCCGGTCCACCACTGTGCGATTTAGAAGAAGTTTTCTTCCTCGCACAACTTCCTTGTGGAATCGATTACCACCAGCGATTTTTCCGGACCGATACGACTTAGGGACTGTCAAGAAAAGAGCCTACTCCTTTTTAAAAGTCCCGCAACGCATCTGCAATTCTCCTGAGTCACTTACCATCAGGCGGGCCGCATGCTCGTTTGCCCCCTCTCCTATAAAAAACTCCCTACTGGTCGTATAAGCATAGTTATGTACTTGAACTACGAATGTATAAAAGATACCGTAAAAATTAATTAAGTTCGGGATTTTCAATGAATCGCTATTCTCTTGACAACTCGGTAGTCTCTTGGTGCATTAGTCTACCGACACCGGTTTAAAATACGATATTCTAAAAACAATAATATACTAAGGAAGTAATTCATTAAGAAAAAATGACAGTAACAGGTAACACGTGGTAGAGCCATGCTACAGTTATATTATAATTGTAGCACGACTAGTTCGGCTCTGGCGGGGTAGGACCACGCTCTCACAGAATACCATCGTGAACTAGCTGCTCAATGGTGCTGTATTTTGTATGGTGAGTGTAGAAAAGAAGATACCCCTTTTACTGAAAACGAGCAATCCCATCTTAGTACCCAGGGGAGACAACAATGCCACATGGGCCACAGCATTCACTTATCATCAGGTGGACTATGTGCACAGTGCACGTTTGTAAACCATATTCTATAAAAAAAAAAATACAAAGAAAAATCGTATGCAATGTCAAAGAAATGACACTGACACACTTGAAAAACGACTAATTAGTAAGTGACTGTTGTAATTTTAATTTTAATTTGCTCTCGAGGCTTGGTAACCGTTTCTCCTGAACTCTTTCTACTAGCTGAAACGATTTTCAGTTTTGTATCCAATTTATACGAATATAAACAAAGTCAAGACTTTCTTAGTAGGCCCGATTGTGTGTGACTTCATTGAACAAGTATGACTTTTTTTTAAATTCTATGATTGCTATGCAAATTATTCAGGTTTAGTATGTAGTGATAGAGAAATGAGTACAAAACATCTAAGGCCGTAGAGACGGCTGGGTGTTGAGGCTCGGAGTCTAAATATTGTGCTGAAGCAAAATATTTGGACTACTCGTTGGTCTAGTGATCGTAAACGCAGTTGCAGATCGTGTGGTCCCGGGTTCGAATCCCGGGTCGAGCTAAAATCAGTTATATAGGTTTTTCTGTTAAGACATTCTCAACCCCTAGTCTCGGAAAGTACGTAAAGTTGGTCCTGTACCTGATCTCTCTCTGTTCGTGTCAGGTAACCGTCCCATCTGACTATGAGAATGATGGAATAGAGAGTGCATCTGGATTTGCACACACACTCGTGCACTATAATTCTATAAGATGGAATGCCTCGTTTCCAATAAAAAGGGTCTCCGGTTCTATACACTCACCATACGCAACACAGAAGCTTTACGCTGCTATTTTGCGCTAGTATTCTGTGAGAGCGTGGTCCTACACCGGTTGAACCGACACAATCGTGCTACAACTATAATATAGCGTGGCTCTACCACGTGACAATAATATAAATGTAATGAGTATATTTAAATTCCAAATAAATATTGATTGCAATTATTATTTCTATTGTAAGGTTTATATAGCCTTTTTCTACTGCCTGAACTTTTTGTTTTGATGTTTCATTTTAGGTTTCATCATATTATTGTTAGTTTAGAATCACCGTATGCATTGCATTATAAACCGTAATATTATTATGTAAAAAAATATATATATGAAACCATTGAGTTATATGTACTACGTACTAGAGAAGCCATTCCAAACAAAAATTGTGTCCTACTCTATGTCTCGCGAATGCGCGGGAGTAGTAGTCGCGCATGCGCGAAGACTTTAATATAATATAAAATAAGATATTAATATAAAATAAATATAAGAATTCAATATAAAATATCTTAATTTAATCTAAACAAACATATTTCTAAATAAAATGTTATAATAATTATTTTATGGAATTCACAAATCTTCAATTTACGCAATATTTAGTTTGTATGGACTGCACTACAGTTCAGTTGAACATAGTCAATGTTCGGAATGGCTTCTCTAGTACGTAGTACATATAACTCAATGTATGAAACAATGTATACATGAATTGTATCAATTATTTATTAGATAATACAGAAAAAGACATATTTATAACAAAACGAACAAATGCCACAAGATTACATAAGATCAGCAAAAATCCCTGAACAATATTACGAGTGACTGAAATATTATGACATTTAAGTCGATAAATAGAAAACAATATTACCGTGCTAGCAAATGGACTTCTGACTTGTCCACCCTCCGTTAAATACACCTGACTCGCTTCCAGAGCCAATTGGCCCCACACGTCGGTAGGTATATCCATTATCCTTTATATATTTCACAGAACTACACAACTAATGTATATGAAATGCACTACAGACACAAATTTCGTAAATTTACTTGATACGCACGGAAAGTTCACCGCGGGCTATAATAAGGAACGCTGTAGTTAAATTTGGACTCGTCTGGGAGTCGATGCGTTCGCTAGAAAACATATGTGAAAATCTGTCCGTTTAGTTCCTCATTTATTAAATACATAATAAGTCCACGAATTTTAACATTCACAGATTTGAAACACCTGTTATTATTACTTTTTAATAATTTAAATTAGTTTATTTGCTATCTGTATCTGCGTGTTCAATTGGCGGGAAAATTTGAATTGGTGATTCTTTTTAATATTCAGTTTTAGTATTTAAAATATTATTTCTAGTTTCTAAGAGCTCGTTCACACGCAACGTATCGTTTTCGGATACTGATTTAATAGGAATGATTTTTAATTGAAATTTTAGTGGCTCAAACAATGTATTAACACGTAAGTACTAAGTAGGTACACACAGACCAATCGGTGGTTTCAGCACCAGCGACCTAGCATTATTTACGCCGCTGTTGTCCAGCACCAGCGACCTAGCATTATTTACGCCGCTGTTGTCCAGCACCAGCGACATATTATAAGTATTTAGGATCTAGTGTAGGTATAAACGAGGTCTAGGTGCTCCTCTTCTGTAAAAAGTCCATGTGGTTAAGTATAACTTCTTACCTATTTCTACCGTAGAGCATCTATTTTACTACATGTGGTAGAGACATTAACTCATATAGTTCGGTGTGCTTGTTGGGTAAGCTTTTTTTTTATAGGATGGGGTGACAAACGAGCACACAGTCCACCTGATGGTAAGTGGTTGCTGTAGCCCATAGACATCTACATTTATCCTCGTTTGCGAATCAAAATGCAGATGTGTTGTCACCCGTGAGGACTAAGATAGAATGCCTCTTTTCCAGTAAAAAGGGTCTCCGGTTCTCTACATTCACCATACGAAACACAGCAGCATAAAGCTGCTATTTGACGATGGTATTCTCCAGCTCCATGTGGAAGAGTCATGCTGCAGATTGTGGTTGCAGCACGAATGGGTCGACTCGTCCGGGGTAGGACCACGCTCTCATAGAATACCAGCGTAAAATAGCAGCATCATGGTGAGTGTAGAGAACCGGAGATCCTTTTTACTGGAAACGAGGCATTCCATCTCAGTCCTCAGGGGTGCAAACACATCTGCATTTTGATTCTTAATTGAGGATAAAGGTAGATGTATATGGTCCACAGCATCCACTTACCATCAGATGGACTGTGTGCTCGTTTGTCAACGTTATTCTATAAAAAAAAAGTCTGTTGTGTTCGATCGTAGGCTACCCAGTTCGATTAAGTAACAGTAAGGTCTCGATGTAAGTTTAAGCTGATCGATCGATGGTGATTTTCTACGTGGTAGAATAAGATATTATAGATACATCACGAATGGGTCGACGCGACCGGGAATAGACCACGCTTGCACAGAATTGAAGCGTGAATAATTTAAAATTTTAAATTTTGTACAGCCGACTTCAATATAAGTTAATAAGAATAACTCAAATAACTCAAAAACTATTGGTCTGACCTTGAGCAAATTCATATGGGACCACAAGAGAAGTATCTGCTTTCATATAAAAAAAGAAAAAGAAATCGGTCCACCCAGTAAAAAGTTATGAGGAAGTTATATTAACACACATAAATAAAAAAAAAACATACGCGTCGAATTGAGTACCGTCTCCTTTTTGGAAGTCGGCAGAAAAGCAGAATAACGATGTTGTGTATCGTATGTTGTGTCGTTCAGTGATTGCAGAATTTTGCTTATTATTTCTACTATATGTAGGTAGGTGTTTTCCTGTACATTTAGGTAGCGGTTGTGCTCTTTTCATTCGAGTTTGATAAATAGTGCAATAAGTAGATTCAGAGACAGGCGCGTAACTATCGCCGTATCAGCCGTATCAATGATACGGAGCCCCCGGTCTACAGAGGCCCCGAACGTGTATAAGCAAAAATTCTAAGGACTTCTATGTGACAGGATGTTGGTTTGAATTGTTTGGCTAGCTTAGTTCCTAGGAATATTAATAGTAATAACTTTTAATCAATATATAATTATTTTAATTCAGTGCGAGAGTTTTTGTTCCTTTTGTGAAAAATCTTTACCCTTCATTTGGGCCCCCTGACAAATTTTGATACAGGGCCCCTCTAAGGCACGCTACTCCACTGTTCAGAGATATGGCGTTTCCGTGATATGTGATGGCTCATTCGACAGGCAATTCCTTACCTGAAGCTTAGGTAAGTACTTTTATTGTATTTTTAATATAAGAAAACACATTTCTGACTATGGTAATAACTTATAAAACACGAAAGAAAAGCGCCAAACAAATTCTCGTTCAAGAGATTCGTGGACATTGTTAAATTAAAACAACACATTTTTCATGATAAAATGTTGTTTTTATCTCGTTAGGGCACGTCCATTAATTGCGTGAGGCGATTTTGGTGATTTTTCTACTCGATTTTTGAGAGGGTTTTAAGGCAAGGAAATGTCCAGCTTTTATGGCATATTATTATCCCAGTTCATAATAATATGATTTATTTCGTAATCAATATTGTATATTTAAATAATTTGTGCTTTGAAAACGATGCGACAGTTTAATGAACCTTCTTTTTCTTCAACACATTCTCGTCGTGGGGGAGATTATCTTTAAGCGTCACTCTTGGCACGCGAATCAACGAATTCAGTGCTTAGCCATTTGATTACTATAAACATTAAAAAGTTAAAGTTATAGTGTACGTCCCACTGCTGGGAACAGGTCTCTTCTCATTTCTGAGAGGGTCGAGGAAATGTCCGCTGCGCTGCCCCAAAGCGTGTTGGCGAACTTCACATCATATCATCGAAATATTTTTTTCTTATTTCTCAGACATGCAGGTTTCCTCGTGATGTTTTCTACTACCGCCGAGCACGTGGTAAATCAGCACTTAAAATTGCTATTAACAATTTCATTGGTGCCGGCGGGGATCGAACCCGGGTTGCTGTGAAATTTACAGCGAACGCTTCGCCCTTGAGCAACCAAATGGGCAGCATTTTCTATCGAGTGATTGTGGCGCTAAGACAGCACCTCAAGCGTAATTTGGCCGATAATTAATAATTTGGCTAGAAAAAAGGGAGATCTCGCGCCGGGTAAGGTGTTCAGCCCGGGGAGAGGCCTTCGCTCCCTGTGTTAGTACAGAGCTGATTTAAAAAATTATGCTTTAGTATTCAGTTGCCCTTTTTTACGTTTATAACTTTATATCCATAAACAATACAGTGAAACAGTGAAAAAAAAAACATAAAGCAGACAATCTTTGAAAGGACACGAATGTAGAAGCTAGAATTCAAATTTTTAAGTAACTTCCTGATAAAAAAATAACGCATTTCTAGGTTAATGATGAGCATACTATACTGCAAGTCCCAGGTTTGATGAACAGCTAAAAATATAACTGCAAAACACATAAATTATCGATTTTAAGGTTGCTTTCTGTCTTCCATCTGTTACGGAGGAAAATATAACGCTCTTGCATCGACTTACAAAATCTTGCTGTTTGAATAGGCTTGCAACCAACCGGCCAACGCTCCTTGTGTTAGTACAGAGCTGTTCTACATATAGCGCAGTACTTCGGAACTTTTGATAGCGTGATTGAGGCTTCGGTGCGTTTCGCTTGTGGCGCGATGTCAGTGCCGCCGCAGTTATCTTACTTATTTTTAAGGTGTAAAATCTGTGTGTATGATTCCTTACGCTAAAATAAATACATAATTTTTTTTTGGTCTGATTAATTTTAGTCCTCCAAAATTTTCCCATTTAATACACCAAGTATCATGTAATTGGTGTATTAAATAGTGACGTAAATAACCGACATTAGATACCGTGACTTATTGAGTGCTCGTTATCTAATGATGTATGAATGCAAACAATTTAAATGTTACAGATATTTAAGTAAGTATGTATTTATGTCATAAATAAAAATCTAAATTATTCAGAACTTTTCTTTTTATAAATCTTAATATACTATTTATTTTTTTATTATTTTATTTATTTTTTACACTAATAGTATAAAAAAATAAAGCTTTGTTTGTTCGCATTTTATGCGCTGCAATACCGTTCATCAGATTGCGGTAAAACTTTGTCAAAATATTGCTTGCACTTCCGCGAAGGTTATAGGCAGTTGGACCCGTTAAATGGTGCCGTTGTAGAATCCAGATATCACCCGTGCGCAGCTGGGGCAGACCGCTAGTATGATATAAAAAACTATTGGTAAATCCAATTGTGCATGCCCTAAACGCATTAAAAAAATTACGTATAATATGATTATACGAATTTTTTTTAAAGTAGTTTAAATACACACAAGTTTTCACTAATAACCTTATTAAGTGGCGAAGCTTGCGAAGTCACTTATTGATTTCACGATGTCTGTCCCTCTGTCCGTCTGTCCGTCTGTCCCACGATTATCTCGAGATTCGAGCCGCTCTGCGCTGGATACGGTCAAGTGGAAGGAGCTGGCACTGGAGAGCCCCAGCCTAGAGATGGGAACAGTATTCCATGTGAGGCCGAACCTGCGCCTTGTAAAGTTGCAAGCGTTGAGCCGGCATGAAATACTGTCCCGCTCTACTGAGCACGCCAAGCTTTTTAGAGGCCAATTTGGCCTTCTCTTCCAAGTGATCACGAAACTGCACGTTACTCGATATGTCGACGCCGAGGATTCCGATACTGGCTGAGGCAACAAGGGGAGTACCTTGAAACTGAGGAGATACGACAAAGGGGTTCTTTTTAGCGGTAAACGCGCAAACTTGTGTCTTCTGAGGATTAAACTGGACTAGATTTAGTCGCCCCCAATCCGAGACTTTGTCCAGCAAAGACTCGACTTCAGACACAAGTTTGTTCCGGTACTCGGCGACGTTTTCCCGAGAAATATTGGCACGGCCGGTGTATAGAGCATCGCCAGTGCTGTCATCC